CGTTACGGATAATATTTTCAATCTGTGGAAGTGGTGACAGTGACCCACGAATTTCCTCAAAATATCCATAAAAATTTCAAGTTACTTTCAAACTAAATGTCCATTTTTTCTCAATTTTTTAGACGTTTTGCAAACATCCCGTGGTTTTTTGTCAGTCGGTCACTTGTTCAGAAGTGACACAGGTATCTCTCTGGTTGCTGAATCTTTGCATCAAATCGCCGTCATTCGTTATGCATTGTGCCGAAACCTATTGATTTTGCAGCAAATTCTTATTGACTCCAGCGATCTGCCCATCGACACTTTGGAATATATTCGCTCAGATTGTATGCCCGAGACAGTTGTTTTCGTTCAGGCATACTATGTCATGGTGTGGATTTGTGAAACTTCCGAAACACTACCAACAACTGGAAATCTGTAAGATATTTTTTTTTTCATTTCGTACTTTTCGATTCAAAAGATTTGACTTCACTTTTACTTCTTTATCATAGGGATGCAAGCATTCAAAAATTGTCAACGCTGCAGCTGTCAGACTGTCGATACAAGAGTCGTCCAAATCATCCAACTACACTTTTGGAGCAATTCCTGCGAGGAAAAGGCTTGGAAGCCGGTGTTTGGATGTTACTTCAAGATCAATGCCGAGATATCACCGATTTCCAATGGAAAAATACACTGCTGCCGCTTGCTTCGATCGTCGGTCAATTACTGTAAGAAACTCTTTCAATTTGAATGAATATATTCGTAACTTTCTTTTGCTGAATTCTTCTTGTAACTGTTCTTAAACCATTGCTCAACAGATGGGCCGTTGATGGAAATTTCATTTTTGGTGAATGGTTGATTGGAAGCTGTCAACATATTTTGATCCAAGAATACGTTCGTTTGCTCAATAGCTGGTGTGAATGGAATAAATATTCACGTAAGTTAAATTTGAATATGGATATGGATATGGATATAGACATAGAAATATATAGATAATAATACGCATCATTTCCATTCAATCCTTCATTCAGGTCATTTCATCGCCGCTGTGTCGCTGCTCGATAACGGTGAACCGTACAAAGCATTCGATTTGTTCATGCAATGTGCAAAGGGTGTAAAACAAGAAGCGTTCCTCGTCAAAGTCATCCTACAATCGGCTGATGATTTAACCTTAAGTGAAGCTGTTACTCAGTACTATTTGCGTGTAATTCAGCTCTTTGAACAGTATTCATCCCAAGATTGTGTTATACAATTGGCAAAAGCGGCTATTGACGAGCTTGATCCATTAAGCCCTCAATTGGCTATGTTCCAATCGATTGTTTTTGCCAATCACTTAAGCCTAGAGCACTACGAAGAGGCATATCATTCACTCATTGCAAACACAGAACCCTCACGCCGTAAAGATTGCTTGCGTCAATTGGTTGTTTGTTTGTTCGAGAAGCAACGTTTGGATTTATTGATGGAGTTCCCATATTTGGGTTTGCAAGAAGAACTGGAGAACATTATCGAATCACGTGCCCGTTCGATGGCAATCGAAGATAATATCTACTACGATTTCCTTTACGCCTTCTACATTTCGAAATCCACAATGCGAAAGGCAGCGTCGGTTATGTACGAACAAGCATTGCGTTGCCAATTGGAAACGAAAACACTACCTGGCCTCGAGCATCGCTACGAATGTTTGTTGGCATGTGTAACGGCATTGAGTTTGGCCGATGACGAATATCGTTGGATTGCTCGACCGGTCATCAGCGATGAGATTCAAGACGAATACGATGAAAATGACATGGAAGTCGATGCCGAAGTGGTGCCAAAGCAAAAAGTAATTGTGAGCGAATTGGCTGAAATTCGAAGAGAATTGTTGTTAACCGATGCCATCATAACACTTGCTAAACATCGCAAGGAATTGAGCACCATTGTAAACGCAACTCCAGATGATGTAATTTCCGTTCTGTCGAATGCTGGTCTCTATACCGATGCCATTAAATTGGCCAATAGCTTCGAAAAACCCATCGCTAACATTTTACATGGGCTGGCATTCGCTTGTGTTCGTGCCACCGATGAAAGTTCCAATGACTCATGGGCTTGGCTTCAAGAAAACGATTTGGCCGACATTCCGCAGAAAAATTCACCCGGTGACATGGCCTGGCAACTACTACAGCGACTTATTGCACAGAATGAAGAGGAAGGTTTGACAACGCTACACAAAGCTGTTGCTAACCGACTACTGGGATTGGGAGAGTTTTTGCCACATTGGCTGTTCTTGTCGTATCGCAAGCGAAATGCATCGGAATTATTGAATTTGTACGTGACACATGGTCGCCTGGTTGAAGCAACTGATTTAGCCAAGGAGTATATTGCAGCGATGACCAACACTGGAGGCGAATACTTTGGCTTAAAGAATGCACTGCACGCAACAACATCAGCACTTTGTTTCCCTGTTAACACCGTCGATTCACTGTTACACAATTTGAAATTGAACAGCGATGAAGATGCAGAATATGCAGAATGCCATAAAGAACTGTCCAATGTGGTTAACAACTACCTCACCACAGCCGATCGCGTTTCGTTCGATAAAATTAAATATATTCGCGGTGTTGTCAATGCGGCCCGTTAAGTTTGGTGTTTTAAACTGAAGTAGCTTGTAAGATAATCTTACATTTGTTTAAGGAATTTTTTGTTTTTTCTTCTATGAATTGCGAAATAAATTATTCGAAATAGAATGAAAAGGAACAAGTTTTTCATTGTATCGTTTGCTACAAATAAACATTTTCTCTTCTTCTTCTACAAAAACTCACCTTGTGATTGAGTAATATCAAAACATGCAATTTTTATTCGAATATTTTATTATTTTAACATCAAATAAAGAGGAAAAAAATATATAAGGATTTAAAATAAAGGATTGAATTTAAATGTCCTTAATCTCTTGACCCAACAACGATAACTGACGCAAGAATTGCTTTGAATTGGACAGTGTCGATGCACCGTAAATTATACGTTTATTCGTGTTTGCCGTTTGTTTTTGCTGATAAAAAGAATGGAAACAAAGGAATTAGTTGGAAAAGGGTATGACCAATTGAATTTAGAATGCATAATCAAGTAGCATTAGACAATTCAAAATGGCATAATTGCATTGCAATTATTAATCGCAATCGCAAATACACAATGATTGCAAAATATCACTCACCTTGATAAAGTCAACAAGATTCTGGTATTCAATGTAATTACCACCACCAACAATAAATACGATTGCATCTTGGAATGGAGCCCGAGTTTTCGGCAATGTATCGCCACGTTTCAATAGTTTTGGATCCAAATAAAGATAGTCATCATTATCGTTACCACTGCGACAATCCATAAGCTGTTCCGTGATTTTCGTTACTGGTAAATTCTATTTTGGAACGACAAGAAATTGATTTTTACATTTTTTCTTTCAAAAATACTTTCATAAAACAGAAAAATGTCTGTGGATCGTAGAATTCCAATTTAAGTATACTTACGTGTCGTTTAACGACCAAATTCTTAACTCCTTCCATCACAAATGACGATCCTTGTGAAACTAATTTCGAGAACATGGAAACGGTCTTAGTGCCACCACCTTCGTACTGATTAGGTTGATTGAGTGCATTTGAGCGGTTCATAATACTCCTGAAATGGGAAAAAGTTTCTCATTAGTTCCAATGGTTGGTATTTGTGAAGAACGGAATTTTCGATTTCAGAAAAATTAATTTCGGAAATTCTACGATGAATAATAAAAATCGCAACAAAATATTGTAAATGGACATTAAAACTGGAACTCACTTCCAACGTTGAATGTAAGGCAGCGAAGATAGATCGCATCCGATTTCTTTGAGAATCGCTTCATATTTGGAGACTTCGCTTTCGGGCATATTCGGTGTACAAATGTAATAAATAATGAACAAACGCATTTTATCTTCGGGTTGTCCAAATTCTGAATCCTTCAGAATATCAATCAGCGGACGATCGAGTGTAAGTTTCGACATGATTTTCTCTTCAATTTCAAAGAACGAATCCAATCGCCTCGATTTGATGGAATTCAAAATGCAAGTGGCCACCTTAGTGTGCATGTCAATCAGGCGCTTCTTCTCCATAAGTTGTGGCAATGAATTCACAGCATTGGTCAGTTTTTCCGTATTATCATTGACCATTGCAAATGCAATTTCGTTCTCTCCATCAATGCCCATTGTGGTTTTCAACTGCTTGATTTCCTCTTCTGAGTTTCGATATTGTTCCAGTTCTTCTTGAATTGCCTCGGCCACCGTTGGGAACGGGCTACCTTTGTGAGTTTTCCAGAATTTATCCGAAATATCCAAATCGTACGACTTTTTCCCCTTTTGCTTGGCACCACCGTGCTCTTTGTTGTCATCATCATCGATCGCAACACGGTTGAGGGACAAATCAAGAACATCATGTGCCAATGCTTGATACGTCCAGGTGTGATGCAACGGTGTGGCCATATCGATATTACGATCTAGAATAATCAACAATGGTCGTTGAAAACTGAACGAACCGGCCTGTGTTGCGTCCATGTGAAACAAATTATTGCGTGCATCCCATAAATTCTCACGTAATTTCTTTTCCAACTTTCGAGCCACCATTTCAGCGGCCGTTCCCTTCAATGCTCGAATGATTGGCACATTCCCAATGGTCACAAATATGGAGAATAAACTGTCAACAATGCTTTCCATCATTTCCTCCATTTCGGTGTCACTGGTATTTGCACGATTGATCGAATAGTACGACAATGAGTCACTATTTTGATGCTTCAACACGAACATGTCATCTTCGAGTGTTATGAAGTTCACATATTGATCGTATACCTTGTGGATATTTGCCACACAACCGGCTGATAAAGCGGCGGCTGCGAGATCTTCAAGTTTTTGCCGTGAAATTGGTGCAATAAAATTCAAGTGATATACATCGTACAAGCTATTTTGGAAATCTTGGGCAATTCGACCCAGATTCTCGTCGGTTGGTGCACAGAAATATACTGCTGGCGCTTCAGGAATCGTATCACGATCGGAATGTAATTGTCTGTAAACGAATGAACGAAACGTCAAATTTGGTTTAATCAATGACAATTGTTGTGCATTTTTTTACTCACATATGCAAAGTAACACCCAGTTCACGAAGTTCACGGATGGAAATTAGTGGTGATATTATGTCTTGACCCACACGATCATAGATCAACACCTTCCAAACGGGCTCGGATGCCAATATTTTTGTTGTGCTGTTTACATTCAAATTTAGCATTTGCTTAATAGCCGCTGTAATTAATCGAATCATATATTTATTGCATCATTTCAGGCATTTACAAAAAGTTACACGTCATATCCAGTCCCTTGGAATTAGACTAATTCAAAATAAACCTCCAACTCACCTATTTGTCGGTCGCGTAACGAAACCATTTTTACAATTAATCAATTAGATTTCCCCGTTGGAAATTAGAAAATTGAGGCGAAGATTGATCAAATATAATAAGTTGATTAAAATGTTTTATGTAGGCTAGTTGTCTGTGGTAAACTAGTTGATCAGCCGATGTAATTCATTTAATTTCGGATAATTTTTTGACAATCACAAAAAGAAACCTCTTAAATTTTGATGGAATAGGCACAGTTTCCTTTGTGCTATAACAAATTACATGCGATTAAAACTTCTTTTTTTAATTCTCAAATAGAAACTTATATTTTAACAAAAAAAATATATACTGTCGACAGACAAAACATATCGTTGACGTTCCAATGAAACGTCACAAGTAAAACTGACGTCTACACTGCGTTTGGTTGCGCAACGCAATCAACGACCTAACGCACTATATCCTCTGATAATTGTGTGTTTATAGTACAAGCGACAATCTAATCAACTATTCGCATTTAAACTGAAATTTTCAACTCGAGCGCCTAACGTTTTTATGCTGTAAACAAATACACAACGAGAAACGAGGGGAAAAAAATCACATGGACTGTGCACATTGTATGAGTGGTATGTTGCCAGTATGGAAAGTTGGCAGCAAACGAAAGAACCGCTATACGCCTTTGGCAAATATATCTTACCCAAATCGAATGTGTTTCAATCGCCAAAATCAAGTATATCCATATATGTCAATTGAAATGCAACTGGTTTTTGGTACTCTTAATATAATTTTAATTGATGTCTTTCATAAGAAATTGGTACTTTTTCAAGTTTTGGCCACACAGAATTTTCATCTTTAAATCTGATACACAGCTAATGGTTTTTTTCTCTTCATTTATGAACATTGAAAGAGCTCGTGTCTTCTAAATCATAGCTACGTGGTAGGCTACGTGTTGTGAGTTTGAAACGGTTGGCTTCAGGAGATATATGGATTTCTCTAAGTTTTTCTATCTGCTTAAAGTCTATACCATAAGCACCATCCTCCCAATCTGTGCATTCTTCTGTCTCATCGTTTTCAATGGATTCCGCAGCTGCAATAGATTTTTCAGTTTTAGATGATTCCTTCAGTTCATTTATCTCGTTGCCGATGATGGATGAGTGGCTATCGTTTGCCAATAGTTCATTGATTCCTGCATTGGGAAAGAATGAACGATTTTGAGTTATTTACCCAATATATTTAATTTTCATGAAGCAACAATAGTGCAGCACCTTCATCACACGGTATTCCACATGATTGCATCAGTTTGGTCACCAGATCTAATGCATTCGCATCTTCATCCGTTTTTAATTTGTCACTTATGACTTGCATCTTTTCCACTTTATCATTCATTTCTTGCTTGAGTTTTTCAACATTTCGCTTGAGCTCTTTGTGTGCTTCATAAATTTCACGAAGCTCCTCTTCAGATGCCGGATGCCCATCAGCTTCTTCGAGAGTTTTTAAAAGTTTTTCGGGCAGTTGATCGATGTCTATGGTGGTAACAATGAAGATGATAAGTGGAATATAGCATTTTTTTCCACTATCTTATTATAACTTACATGCTTCGTATTCTTCCATGGTGTCGTTCAATGTTCAAAAGTGGAAGAAACAAATTGAATATTCTAAACTGATGTTATATTCCGTTTTACAGACTCCGAACAACTGAAACACGATGGAAATAATAACTCACTTACTTAATAATTCGAAAAGTTCATAATTATAAATGGAATTTATTCGAGCATTGCTACAAAAAAATCAACTTTTATCAATCGAACGAAATAAACCGTAATATTTTCTGCAAAATCACAGTCGCTCAACCATCGTGCGCAAATGTCAAATGCAAACGATTGCATTCCTTATTTGTAAACAAGCTGCTGATGTTAGCAAAATTTCATACATATGATTCAAATGTTGTCACAAATTTAAACATACCCTTGATTTGTTGGGACAGAGTGACAACATGCATTTTGAATTTCAACATATAATTTTCACATTGATTTGAACGAATTGATTTATTAAAAACACATAAACAACGGAGAAAAATTACACATTGAAAATAATAATTCCGTACAGAATGGATGTTTATTCAATAATTTCAGTGGTATTGAGGGCTTCAGTTGCTTCTACTTTTGGAATGAGCTTGATGTAGGTGCGATAATCACAGGCAAAGTTGTTTGATGACACAAGCAGTGAAATTCCGAAGTCTTTGCGCTCTTTATCGTATTCATTTCTACAAAGGGAAGAAGTGTGTTCAATAAATTGGACGAGAAAAATGAAAAACTAAACAAGATTATTGGAATGAATCCATACGTTTTAAGTTGATTTTTGGCACTTCTCACTGGCATCCAACGGCCCGTGACAGGATTTTCATTAGCTGTCATAACACCGCGCACAGCAAGGCCAACTCCGATTTCTGCGCACAGATCCGAACGCCATTCATTCAACATAACATCGGAATGACTGATGCAATCTATGGCACTGATGATTTCTTCTAGCCGCTGGAAGTGGGTAATGTAATTGTGGTGTATGAGATTTATCGATGTGGTCGGTTGAGTTGTGAGCAAACTGGTTATTTCATCCGGTGAATGTAGGAATGTTTTGTTGCCAAGTGCATCGGCTTCTTCTTTGTCTGTGAAATAGCGAAGAAATAACAACGGTTTTCTTTGGCTTAAATTTTTTTTAGCTCATTAACTCACATTTTGGATTGAAAACCCGACCGAGAGCGTGTAGAACGGTGATATTTTCATCAGTGCCTAAAGACTTTAATTTTGATTTAGATTTTTTGGTATTTTTGGTTTTCTTGTTAAGGTTGAGAGACTGGACTGGTAACATTGTGGAATCTGGAAGAAAAATCGACGTTTTTAGATATTTCTTTTTTTTTTTTGTTTCTAAAAAATTTACGTTCAACATTGTTCTATTCATAGAATCGATGGCATGGTAGAAGAAATTCCACTCACTTTTCTGAGATGCAAAATGTAAATTGATCACCGCACTGCGAATATCCCCTTGCGACGACAAAACGATCGATTCGATTGTATCTTTGCTTGGTTCGGTGTAGTATTTTTTGAAACCATTTTGCCCCATAATATCACAGATTCGTTTCAGTCCTTTCTTCAGCATTGTGTCAGCCACTGGATTGAAACTGATCGATGTGATATTGAATCGGCTTCGAATTTCATCGGTGAACAAATTGAAGCTGATGTTGAGCGTACGCGATTTTGTGTCTGCGACGATGAAAATCAATGGTGATTTACCGTAGCTGGAGTATCTTCTGCAAGTGGCACAAGGTTTAACATAGGAGAGAAAGACAAAAAATTAATTATTTTTCATTCTCTGTTTGAATCAGAAAAATATGTTCATGAAACTTACTCTAAAACTTCCTCAAAACTGCTCGGATCTTTGATGAATATGTTTGGAAAGTCTTCAACCAAAACGAGCCGTTTTGTTGCTGTATCAAATACCGATCGATATCGTGACGATTGGAACAGAAACTGTGTGAATTTGTCGATTTGGCTTTCCGAAAATGTCACTTTATCATTGTCAGTTCGATCATAACGCGGATGTTCCAGATCCATTGGAGTGACCCATTCACTGATTGTGTATCCAAATTCCTGAGCAATGATTTTGATTGTAGCCGATTTGCCGCTGCCACTTGGCCCAGTCACCAAAACGATAGGTGCAGCATTTTTCATTCGTTTGTCTTTAATCACTCGAAACCAATCCTCAACTTCGGCGACTTTTTTCGCATGTATGGCGAGGTCCACTTTGGTGCGTGGTGCAAAATTCTCAATCCAATTCGATGATTTGAAATCGGTATGAATCATGGTGACTTCAGCCGTGGGTTTCTGAATTTCAGCAGTCGTTTGATTGTTGTTGTCCAGACTCGATAAATCCAATTCGCTAAAATTAATCGAATCATCCTCGTTCGAAAACACACTCTGCATCTTCGGCCGTTTTTGTGTGTTCACTGCAGGGGATTGTGGCGCATCAAACGCTGATTTGAACCACTTTTTCTATACGAATATTTTATTTTCAATTAAAAACGAAAAAATACTTCAACTTCGTTATGAATTGTTGTTATTTTACCTGCTTTGTGGCCATTTTCACTGAACTTTTCTCGGAATAAACAATTTCAAGGGAATTTTATGCTGCGCTCTATCCAATCAACTGTTGAATGCGTTGACATTCAATTTTTGACTGAATGTCCATTGGCATTGACTCTGTAACAACGTTTGACAGATCGCTTTGTTCGATTCACTATGGTGTTTTAGTGAACGCACCCTTACTCTAGCGTATTATGTCAGTCAGTCAGTGTCTCAAGTGAAGGAATGAGAATAACACGCACAATGGTTTATTGTACAACAATGAACGAAAAAACATTGAAAACAAAATAAAAGAAAGTCGAATCGCGATTTTCGATCTTTGAATATTGAATAGTGGCAACGCAAGCAATCGAATTTTATTCATGCTTTTATTTCTTTATCTAAACAATTGTCTAAGATAAACAAATGTGTCTTGTGTGTGTCAGATCTGCATTTATCGTAAATGAGTAATCAGTGTATTTTTAGTATTGAAATATCGAATTTAGGAGAGAATAATCGTCACAAATTGCAAAAAAAACACGTATTCCCAGTTAAACAGTGCTGATCGAAGCAAATAATCAACTTGTATAATTTGTTTGAAAGTAAATTACGAAACAAAAACTATTTAGTTCACAAAAAAATGAAAATCAACGAGAAGAATTTGTGTTATTTTGCGACATCGCCGCCAATCGATCTAGAGGGCTGGCTTCAGAAGCGTGGTGAAGTGAATAAATCATGGCAACGGCGATATTTTGTACTTAAAGGCAATTTACTGTTCTACTTTGAGAAGAAAGGTGACCGTGAACCGATTGGAGTAATCATTTTAGAAGGATGTACAATAGGTTTGTTGCGTACAATTTGTGTGTGTATGTTTGCATTTGCCCTGCCTTTCACAACCAACATCATATGATTGAAATTTGTTTGTCTTCGTTTTTTTGTTATTGTTTGGCTTTTAGAACTGGCTGAAGAGGCTGAACATTATTGTTTTCAACTTATATTCCACGGCATAAACAATCGAACGTATTATCTGAGTGCAGAGACACAAGAAATGTGAGTCTTAAAAATATAACTCAAGGTAAAGAAAACCTTCTAATGAACGTTTTGTTTGTGTGTGTATGGGTGTGATGATTTACAGAATGGAGCAATGGATGAGAGCATTGACGTGTGCCGGTTATGAATACATGAAATTGATGGTTGCAGAACTGCAGCGACAGCTGAACGAAATCGAAAAGTCGAAGGGTAAAGAAGACTAATTAAAACTCCTACAATTCCCTGCTGATTGTTCCGTCCAACTAGCTAGCGAATTAAAATTTTTGTATATACATATTGAAATTGTTATGTCTTTTGTGCTTTGTTCCCATTGATTTTCCTTTGCTTAATTAAATATTCGCTGTAAATTGCACGGCATTTGGTCAATTTAAGCTATTTTTGACTGGTTTTGTTCACTTCATTTCGTATCAAATTGAAATACACGATCTATTTATAGATTCAACAAATTGTTCGATCGAATCGGTGCCGAAGCCACCGCCGCGACGTAATCAACGCGAAAATCCATTTGATCGGCCAGCACGACCAGCACCTCCACCTCCAAAATGTGTAACTGCACCGAACTCAAACCCAAATACTCAAGGTAAAGAAAAGAAACAGCAATTGCACTTAAATCATCTTAATTAAACCACTGGTTTTGATAATTGCCTTAATTTATTCATCACTTGGCTTAAATGAGTGCGTGTTCATGTTGTTAAATTATCTGTGTCTATTTTTTTTTTTCTTTCTTTCTTTCTTTCTATTTACTTTTCTGCAAAACAAACTCTGTGGCTCGTCTGCGTGTATGCGTTCCCCCCAAATATAACCGCAAATGCAAAATGTGATTGTAACCAAAAACGAATATATGTTTCTATCTGAACAAACATGCACAAAATACTTATAGCTTCTAACGGTGGTGGGATGGGTTCCAAATCGGCAACATCATCGTCGTCGTCGTCGTCGTCGTTGCAGCAATCATTTGCTAACCGATCACCGGTCGGTTGTGGTGACCCTCCATCCAATCTAACTGCATCCAGCGACAGTAAGCTGAAATCTCACACCGAGTTCAATTTTCAAACGGTGCATGAGGCCTTTGGCCGTGAAATTGAGCAAGACCTAAAAGAACGACGACGACTTAAAGAACTAGCACAACAACCATTGATTCAATTCTAAAATGAAAATTTAAGTAGTTTTCCCCCCGATATAATAATAATAATGATAACAGTTACTACCTACTTGATATAGCATATACTGTAATGTTAATGAATATGCAAAGCATGTGATGGAATTTTCAAATTTGGTTGCATGATGATCATATATGTTTCATTTGCTCTTTTTTTGTATTTGGTATTAAAAATGGAAATTAGCTTTTAAGGATGAATTATTCTTCTTTTTTTTTCGTTGTAAAATTTATTTTCGAAAGAAAAGTCCGTTGTCAATGATGCTTGGATTATATTAAACCTGTAACACAATTGTGTTGCTGAGAATAGAAATGGCAATGCAGTACAGTGTTTGAACTGAATCGCAGCATGAAACTTTTTATGTAGCATGAAAAATGGGAATTTCGATGGTGGTTTTTTTTGTATTTTCCGCGAAAAAGAGTCATCTTCAACAAATGTCATTGGTCAAGTTCTAAAACTTCACTGAATACATTAACTCATTATCGCTTATCATTTCCGCAGAAATGATAACACAGAAAACCACATTCGAAATTCCCATTTTTTATACTGCATGCATAAAATTGAAGCGATGATTCATGTTGCGTTTTTAAGAAACATATTTCATGTTGCACTTCAGTTCAAACACTTCTGTATTCCCATTTTGTTTATTAACAACACAATTCTATATCTAATAACTACATTATGAATGAATACCTCATATCATCATTTGCTGTACTTCATTTAAAAGGGATCTTGAACATAATTAATTACAATTTTTTATAGAATCGATACATAAAATAGAATTTAATGAACAGAATAAGGCCACATTGATGGAGTCGCATTTTTGATGTTGAAATCGTTTCCTTCACAACCATTCATCAATCATCCAGTTTTATTTTGTCCAGCGCATTGTTTTTTTTCTGGAAGCTATTTACGACAACGATTCACAGGTTCTACTCCTTTCTTCCCCCCCCAATAAAATGATGTCAATTGTTGAAAACGATGCTACCAGCTTTAGGTTCATTTAATCGAAACACAGTTGAGATTTTGATGCAAATATTTTTTTTTCGGGCAAATGAATGAAAAATTTGATATGTTGACGAAATTTAGTTTTTTCAGAAAATAAAATTGTATGAAGGCTAATATGACGGGAAAAAATAATTAGCTAAAATATCTGAATTTTGATTTATTTTCACGAAGTCTCAACTGTGTGTGTGTAGAATAAAAACAAGACATGTGACAAGTAAAATCATTTCATGACGAAAAAATGTATATTTAAAACATATTGTTAAAACATGCGGAACATAATTTCAGTCTTATCAACGAATTTGTTGTCCGAAGTAGACAGTTATGAGATCAATTAATTTATTATCGATTTGTGAATAATAAAAAAAAAACAAATAAATTGTATCAAGGAATCATAAAATGAAAATCCTTTTGTTTGATTTCATTTCAGCTGAGAAAAAAATCTGAAAATAGGATAAGTAGCTGAAATAATTTAGAAATAAATAGTCTTACCTCCGTAAGACGAACTTTTCCGCACCATTTTCATAGCGTTCAGCTTTTATTCAGATTTAGCCTAGGAAATTTATAAGAATTTTCAGAAAAAAACAACAGTACGTTCATGTATTTTATGGAAAATTGCATTATGATTCCGAAAATCTTGATGATGATTTCATATTCAAATGAAATAAAACGTCTGATTGTCTTTATTGTCGTCTGAATACTGAAAAAAATGGAACAAAATGTGACGAGTTGAAAAAAATACCATTTAAAAACAAACCACATTTTTCTTGACCAAAATCATAACGCGTCTTTCTTTTACATTGTATTTTGTATATGGCAGCCCTTTGAATCCATAGAACAACATGAATGAGCGAAGGAGTGATTTGAAACTCTCATACAAAAGCGCGATTTTTAACATAATAAAGAACAAAAAATGCAAGAAATTTTGAATTATTATACCGATTTGATACGAAAAAGGTAGGTTAGCAGGTGCTAGGTTCTTCCTGGGCCCTTATTAATTTGATCAAATAAATCGAGTGGGAGTGATGAAATTCACCTGGGGAGCCTATTTTGGGTACCTTCCGAACAAAAGTTCGATTTTTCAAGGAATTTTGAACTAACATACCGATTTAATACCAAAAAGGTGGGTTAGCGGGTGCTAGGTTGTTCCGGGGCCCCTATTATTTTGATGAAATAAATCGGGTGGGCATGATAAAACCCACCTGGGAGCCTATTTTGGGTACCTCCCGAACAAAAGTTCGATTTTTTGAAGGTTTTTCATAGGCTAGGTATCCTAGGGTACATCTGGGGTGGCTGAAAATTTAATGGTTTTCAAGTCTAACGAAGCACAAACGTTTGGTACTTGCAGAATTTCATTTCCTATTCTGGTGTTTGAGCAATCGCGCTAAAAAAAAATTTGCGTACAGCGTACAGGGTACGACACACCCACATTAACATAGCAAAATAACCACTGTATCGTGCTTTTTGGTTTCGAAAATGGATAGAAAAATGGTTTTTCGGGGTACCTAGGTTTTGAAGTGATTACAATACTTTTACACACGACATGGGCGTGCGGAAAAGTAACAATCCAAGGAAAACTTGGACAAAATTGATGAATAAACAACCGTTTTTTTCATATACAAAACAACAATCAGTTTTATTTTCAATTTCATGTTTTTTTTTCTCCATAGATAATATACTTTTCATTTTTCTTTTTCTCTTTCTCACATATTTCATGCATTCCACCGTTGTTTCGATGGATGAAATTATTTTTCTGTTTTTTTTTTATATCGTGAATTAACATTTCTTAATCATCAAATTTCAAAAAAAAATTGTTTGTACGTAAATAGATTTTTTTAAATTCTTTATAACATTGGTTTTCATATTGAAAAATAAAATTACTATTTAAATTAGAAACTTAAAAACTAAACACAATTTGTCATACAGATTAATGGAATGTATTGGGTGTATGTGTGTGTGTGTGTGATTTTATTATTCTTCTCTTAAAAAAAGAGAGACAAATTTCAGTGTTTTACAATTTTTTTCTTCATGTGTCGCCATGATATTCAGCTGTGCCTAATTAAAAAAAAAAACGATGCGAAATGGCATCGATTCGAGTGTTTTGGAGTTTGAACATAAACCAAAGAAAATGAAATGATTTTAAATAAATGATGTGGTCATGTTGTTGATTCCATCAAATGGTTGAGTAAGAGGATTACGAGAAGAAGAAAAAAAAAGACAACAACAATACCATAAGAACAATAGTTATGATAAACGAACAAAGTGGAACACAGATAGATTGATTTGTCTATTGTTGTAATGTGTGCGTTTAGAGTAGGCAAAAAAAAGAGTTCACAAAAATTGAGATAGTAAGGAAATAAATATAAGAAGAAGAGATGATTTACATATAAAATTCGACTGAGCACACGCCATCAAAAACACACACACACACAATCGATTGTGTCTGGTTCTTTTTGATGACAATTGATAAATTAGTTTGCATTTAGTATGCCACCATCTGTTTAAATATCTCGTGAAAACTTTTGCCATACAATTTTCGATCCATTCGACAAGTTTGGACATATCATCAAGAAAATACACGCACACATATCGTTCGCTCTTCGATGTACGTGCCAACATCATCCCGAAAACAGGTTTGCACTTTGCCAAAAACATTAGCTATTTGTTCACCGTTCATAAAGTGTGTGCTATTCATTCAAAGGTATTCGGCTGTTTGATTGGTTGGCTTGACACACAAATGTCCACACTTACAAAAAACGGTATTAGCACACACATCCTGATTGGATTCTGTATCGGATTTTTTGTTATCCACGCGTCAACACCAATAATTAACATCAATTTCACAATTAATAAATATCTAAAATGTTCATGTGGTGGTAAAACACCATCATCAATTTGTTTGTTTTTTATACGTAATATGTGTATGTCGGGTCGTACGTTTCCTGTTCGACTCAATGAAACCACTCAATTTGTCTATTTTGTTGTTCTTTTTCACCAAAATGTGTTCTTGATATCTAAATATTTGTATATCCTCATTGTTTTATCCATTTATCTTTCATCTTCGTCATTGTTTTTATCTTCATTTTAATTTAGGTAAAACGATTCTTAAAAGCTGCACCTGTCGATTAAAGTATTATCTCATCATAGAATTTTTCATGTTATCATTATTTTTTGTTGTGTTTTTTGTTTTTGTTTGTGTGTAAGCATATCGAAAAATATTAAAACAAGATTTACACTAAATTTCATCGTTTCATTTTGGTATAATGATTTTCCTCGTTCTTTTTTCTCTTCGTCTCATTGAATATGGGTTTGCTTGTTTTCTCTGTCTTGTTGAGTGTGAGTAATGAGTGTTAATGCATGTGGTTTTGCTTTGTGTATGTGTGATACAAATCTAGAACAATATCAATACAATATTTCCACCACAAATAACATCGAAACAAATCTCTTGTCTAAGTTTATTTGTTTTTCGGTATGTGTTTTCAAGCGAATTGATTGAAATTCTGCTGCGTGTGTATGTGACTTATTCTTCGCCGATAAATTGTCTATCTATGTTAGTGACCAGCACTTAAAAATTTGATGCATCTCATTGTTGAGAATTGTTCAGTCAACGCCACGAGACACATATCAACAAATATTTGAAACAATTTTCTCTATCCTTTTTTTGTTCATCTAATTCAATTTTTCCTTTTTTTTTCATTTTCTCAAAATCATTTTAACTAATTATTTATACATTTATTTAATGACACAATATTTATAATTTAGGTCGCCGTGTCAATAAAAATACTACAGTTTCGCATTCAATCATGAACGGAAGAAAACCCCAGACATTTTTATTATGGATAACAAATTCTGTGTGCACTTTTGTGTCCTCACTAAAACCGTGACTAATTTGCTCAATCTAGATTGGTTCTTCCTCTTCTGCTTCTGCTGAAAGTACACACATTACATTCATTTAGTTTTATTTTAGACAACAATTGACATTTAAAATTCTTCGTCGTTTGCTAGTTTTCTCCGGCTTCTGTCGAATTTGAAACTCTCGACATTTTTATTTGTTAATTCGATTAAAAACTCTTCTTTTTTTTGCTAGATCCATTTTGTTGTTGTTATAAAAAGAGTTGGCCAGTGCAATTGATCCTGTGTGAGTCACAGAAACAGCACTGACACTCGGTCTCTGTATAATTAAATAATTTTTATTCGTTGGTTTTTGCACATTAAGGTCACTCAAATTAGTTCATTTTCTCTCTATATATATCGTTATGAATATTTTATACGATTTTAAGTGTTAAATTGGATTTCTCTTTTCAGTGATGTTATTGTTATATTTTTTTTCGCTTCATTTAGATTTCTGCCCAATGCGAATACATTATATTGATATGGATCAAGGAAAAAAAATAGTTTTGAATGAAATTTTTCTATTACATTTTTTTTCTCTTTCTCAATCGATTGATACAAAGTTGATCGAGAGAGTGAGGAAGGAAAATTGGTTTCGCAGAATGGGAGGTGTATTTGAATCCTTATCGTTCCATGAATCGGATGTGATGCAATCGCATGATTTAAAAAAAAACAAGAAACATATGGAAATTCGTTGAATTGCGGCTGAGCAATTTGTATGCATCACCTGATTATTATATATGCAAACGATTAAAGTGTCGTTTTTTTGTCTCTCTTGCTTGTGATTAATTTTTTTTTTCGTGGTTATTAAACAACGGATACGATAAATTTATTTTGTGACAAATGTCACTTTTTTCAGTTTTAAGTATTTTAAATTCGTCGATTTGAGTGCGAAGCCGTGTTATTATTTTGCTCATGCAATATTCATTTCGCGTTGCTTCTTTGAAATGAAAAGAAAAATTGTGCAAAATGTGTTAAAAACCACAAATACCGTTACGATGAACAAAATCAACATTCAGAGAAATTCCATTTCTCAAAAATATGCGCCAAACATGACCATTCCCAGCGTACTCTCACGAAGGAGGTAGTAGTGGGATAGGTGTGAAATATAAACAACATCAGCTATCAATAAGTCGTGTGACTCTCTCTGTGTGTTTAAGTGTGATATTTATCATTCACATCATTAAGAGTTTATGTTCTGACGAACGTGTGATTGTGGCTATATCCATAAAGCACATAACATTTTTGCAGGTGCACCAACAAATGGGCTCATCATATTGTTTCTCAAGCGGATAATTGTATTTTATACATAAACATTAGTGTTTTATACTCTCTTTTTTTTGCACAATAAATATATATTATATACAATTGGTTGAATCGTGTGTGTGTGTGTGTGTGTGTGTGTGAGTGCGGTTTTCACTTTAATTCGGTTTGTCATTTTAATAAAATATAAATAGAAAAAACACAAGAAACTATTTGCCCGATAAACCACACCACACAATGGCTTCACCTGCCAAATGAAACCAGTTCATTTTTTAAATAATTTGCTCGTTTTCCGTTGTTGTTTTTTCTCTTCTTTCTCTTTGTTTTCAATCGAATGGATTTCATTTGGGTCGGAATGCCAGTTCAAATCATACACTACGTTATCGAGATGATAAAGTGCGGATTGCTTCGTCTTTTATTAGGCAAACTTAGTCTTGCGTCTTTTGTGTCCCTGCATTTATGTAGAAATTATCGTTTTTTTGCTGTTCCTAACTCCGGCGACCATAAATTATGTGCATAGCACATACATTTCAAAATGTCACACGCTTCATTCTTTGCTACCCCCCCCCCCCTCCCCTACTCACACACATTCTCATTTCATCTAATTCTCTTCAGCTGTGTGCCTCTTGCACCGCCTGTCTCTCTTATTTAAAACTTAATCACGTTAATTGTTAAGAACATACATTTAAAATCACAATTATTCTATATTCAAAATAGTTGTATGCATTAATTCCTCGATCTCTAATATAAACTCAACATCATTTACACATTTCCAAATCAAAACATGTCCAGCAGGTATGAGAATTTTTGTTTTTTTTTTTCATTCTTTCAATTTTCGTTTGTTATCGCAATTTGCGCAATTATCAATTTTTCGTCGATGCTTTTTTTTCATTCATTTTGCGTCGTCTTGTTCCATCGGTTCATCAGATTCTTCACGCGAAAGCGAACCACTGCCATGGGAAAAAGTTTGCAATTAATAAAAATTTCAGAACGTTTTAACCGGGTATGGTCTTACCGATTCGCTGGTGGCTGCATTGAGAGACCAGCCATTGCGGTTAACGTTTCTGATTCCTCTCGTTCACATTTCAGTGCTTGAATAGCTGACATTCCAACGGTGTGGGCCAAACGTTTTACGCATGGCCAATGTGACATCTGCAAATGAACAAAATTGGAGTCGTGTATTTTGTGGTGTATTGATACAAAAGCCAATACAAAAATATGCGTTATGCCTTTTGAGAGAGGAAAGGTTTATTTTGGAATTCGATTCCATTTTCAAAAAACAAAACAAATCAATCAATTCAATTTGGGTTTTACCTGAATAGCAATAGTTTTCTGCAGTGTGTCGATTGCATTTTGACACGGTGCACGCGATAGCTCAACTTCAGGTATGGGTGATGGTTCGTCGCCAAGTAAAGCCTTCACGCACTCTTGGGCTGAATCACAAATTGCGGTCAAATCATAACCACCTTCAAGGGCCAGAACGATTTTACCATCAGCCAATTGCATCAATTCACGTGCTAAATGACCGAAACAAGCTGGTGACACCACATAACCGCCCAATGGTGGTGGATGACCGATGGCAGCATCAAACCCGGCCGAAACGAGAATGATATCGGGTGCAAATTCACGAGCAATTGGCATTACAACCGTTCTAAACGCGGCCAAGTATTCGGCATCGCCCAACGCTGGATTCAACCCACCCGACCATGCGACATTAACATTGAATCCAACACCGATTCCAGCACCGCATTCAGTTGGACCACCAGTGCCCGGAAAGAAGTTTCCATCATCGTGTCGATGTATTGATAAATACAAAACGCTATTGTCCTCGTAGAATACTTGCTGCGTACCATTACCATGATGTACATCCCAATCCTGCCCAGAAATATAATAAATTAAGAATCAGCGAAATTTACGGAGGATATTTTTCATTACGGAGCTCACACTCCCAACATGATGATTTGTTATTTTCAAATTTACTTACGACGATCAGAACTTTTCCAATTTCATTTGGCAAACGCTGACGCAACAATTTCGCAGCAATTGCAACAGAGTTGAAGAAACAGAATCCCATGGCTAAATCTGGCTCAGCATGATGACCTAATTCAAGCGAGAAAAAAAGATAAGAAATTAATTATTGAGACACATTTTTGTGACTATGTTTAGAATGTTGGCTATTTTCGGTGCATACCTGGTGGGCGAACGACGGCAAAACCATTTTCAATGTCACGTTTCGCTGTTTTAAATGCCAAATCGATAACACATCCAGCTGCCATTTTTGCAGCCGCACTGGTATAGTTCTCATTCCATGTGGTGTCCAAATCGACACCAACACCACCGCATGCGAGCCGCACAAAACTCGTTCGTGATGATTCCATTTTTTGGCGATTCAATTGATTCGAACCGAATAGCATGGCATGGTTTTCCGTGTGCACCGTTTGAATTTCATCGAGTGTGGCTTTGCGTGATCGCAAACGATCGCATCGATTCGCCAATCCAGTTTCACCCAGCCGAGCCCATACACTTTGCAGCCGACCACTGTGCTCGGGATGCGATGAATTATTTCCACAAATGCACGAATGCTTCAGCATTGTGTTGTCAAATGCAAGACCGGTTGTGATTTTGTGTTCGTTCTCCGTAATGTGGCGTCGATGTGTCAAATTGATTGGATTGTCGAGCGATAACGATTGGCCGGTATCACGAATGCCGCAAAGATTTGGTTGTCCAAGCGGTACCAAAGGACTCGATAACGTTCGAGATAAAGGTCGACTGAGATTCCGCATCAAGAATGGATCGTCAACAGACAACTAAAATCGTATTATTACACAATATTCAAATGAAAACACGAGATGTTAGTAGAACGCAATGATGTGTTATCAAATGAAATTAAAAACTAGCACAAAAAAGTGAAAGTAAATTGAATGACGGCCACGAAAAGCATTTACCTGCATCGATTGACGGATGAGTATCTCACGTTGTTGCTGCAAATATTCCTGATCACGTAATCGTTCTTCGGGCGATATGGCCGGCGGTGGATTGAGAGTAGACGAAATCACGGTGCTTGTTGGTATAGGTTTCGGTGGTTGCTTTTTATCGGTTAAATCGATGACAGCATCTTCTTCTTCTTTGAACGATTCGGCGCGTCCGCTTCGCGTTAACACCGTTTGCCGGATCTTTTGTGTCAATTGCAAGTGTTGTTGTTCGTATGCCTGTCGTTCAGCCTCACTGTTTTCATAGTGTGTTTGAGCAATGTTCAGGGCAGCAGCACCCGTTAGCATCGGATGGCCAAGTGGAAGTGGAGCTGATTGAGTTCGACCCAATGGCCGATGGCCTTGCTTATGCAAGCGAGCGAGTGCAACTTGAGCATCGGTGATTGGTTGGCTGTACATTGGAATCGGATGCAAACCCGCCATTTGGGCCAAGTGAATTCCACTGTGGGCTGGCGGTACATCACCATGTTCCATGGTCGGAATAAAATACGGTGCTCCCGGTGGGGCTAGCATTGTTTGCGACGGTGTTCGTAGAATTGAATGAATTCCCTGTTTTTTTTTTTGGAAAGACGATAGAAAAGTATGTCAATTTCATTCTTCACATTCATTTCGATTAAAATCAAACTGTCCCGCAATCGATTCACTTACATAAGCGTGACTGTGTGCGTTTGGTAGATGCGGCCGTCCCAGACTGATATTAGGCATACTTGGTGATGTATACAACGACAAATCGTTAATACTATCTCGGCCAGCATGATAGTTTGGATCCTCATTTTCCTCTTGAATCGTCGCACTGGTGGGTGAGCCACGGCTTCCGGTCAATGTTGGCGGCGAATTCGGACCTGAATCTGTTGATGAACAATCTAAACGATGAATCAAATCTTTATTACTATCTTAAGCTTCGGAAAAATGAATCGCGGCGGACTTTTATCAATTTACAAAAGAAAAACAACGACAAATCACTTCACACTCTCATATTTCTGAGCATCTCATGCAAATAATAATGGTTATATCGATATCGAAAAATTTACAGCAAAAAAAAAGACGTTATACATTAAAAGCGTATCGTTAGATTGTTTTTTTTCTTGGGTGTGTGTGATTGTTTTCGGATTAAACAGTGTTGAGCTCATCGAGGGTGTAGACAAATCAAACAAAGACAAACGAAAATATGTGTATAAATTGCAGCTGATGTGATACATACTTGGTCCAATTAGAGAGCTTTGATGTTGCTTTAGTCGACGTTGAGCAGCAATTAGCAAACGTTCTTGTCGTCGTGCGGCCAATGATCCGGCGCGAGCTTTTCTCTCAATAACACTTTGTTTCAAACGTATCTTCAATAAATTGGGCTCGGATGCTGCAGCCGAATCAAAGAAATATACATTCGATATTTTTTTTACGTGAGTTTTGTTTATTTGTTATACTATATTACTATTGAATTCTATATGAAATCCATCAATCTTCAAATGATACAGTTAGTTTTTCGTTAGATAAATTTTGGTGTTAAATGCACACAAGAGAAATAAAATCGGTCAAAATTTTTAGCACAAATATATCAAACGTTATGGAAAAAAGCTGCACATTTCCAAACTTTTGTTTGCAAACAAAAGTTATTCAACGAAAAACATCATTAGCCGAAGAACATCAAGGCCTTTGAGCATTTTGTTTTGCTATTGATTCATTTTATTAACGTCTGTTATATTTCCAATCAAAACAATTGAAAATAATTTTTTTTTTGGTTGCTCAAATGCCATGTGTTCATTTTCGCATGCATCAAAGGGCCGATCGATGGATCGATCGAAATCGTTTCGTTACCTGTTTTGCGCAGTGGAAAATCGGGATCGTATTTCGATATAGTTGGTGGCGGCTGTTGAGGTATTTTATATGGGTGGGAGCTTGGCAGAACACCAGCTGGGAACGATTCGCCCGATGAACTTTTGACAACACCCCTGAAAATATACATGGACACACGTCATCAAGTAAAACCATTTAAAAATTCAATGTTTTGAAATGATTGAAAAAAAAATGAAATGGCTCAACAAATGCTTACCAATTTCGATATGGCGACGCGGCAGAAGCAAGACCATTTGATGAAGCATTTTGCTTCTTGCTGATGATAAATGACTGCAAAAGAAGAGAGTAATTTATTCGAAATATGTCTTCTCATTCAATGGTTTGAATAGATTATGGTGTGAATGATACATACTTGCAATTTTTGCTTAACTTCTGGACTAGCATTGGCACTGGATGAATTCTCTTTCCGACGAACGATTGCCTCACGTTCGCGTCGTTCGCGTTGTTCACGCTGTTCTCGTTGTTCACGTTGTTCGCGTTGTTGTTGCTCCTCAAGAGCGGCTATACGTTGCTCATGCAATTCCTGCAATACGCCATTTGAATACGCCGCAGACTATAAATAACGGTTTTTGGAAAGAGGTATATCGGTTTTGTGCCAGTGGACCAAAAAAAAATGCAATAAAAAGTAATACCAACGCAGAGCAAAAAATAAAGAACAAATAAACTAAAAACGAAAACCAAAACAGAAACAGAAACGCATAAGTTAGAACGCAATTTTGTATTATTAACGTAGTAGTTCGCACAATGAATGGTCCAAGAGCGCTCGATGAGCATACATATTTAATGGCAAAGATGCAAGAGGTAAAGTAAAACTTAATCGAAATTTGACCAATTTGAAAAGGAATGCAGCTCAAGAATGAAGTTTGAATTTGAAATGAAATTTGGAATATAGTAAAATCAATAATCGAACCAGAATGATATCTAAATATTGTCGGTGGTTGTATCCAAACAATTTTGTTTGTCAAGATATCAAAGGGGAAAAAACGTTTTATGAAAATTGTTTACTGATCTTGCAATCGACCTAAGCGGCTTATTATCAATTTACAATAAATGGCTATTCTAACTTCATAATGAAGAAAGAGCAGCTTAAGATAGAAATGGAATATTTCTTCCGTTCCATGGTTCATTTTCTTGGCAAGTGATTATGCATGGATTGATTCATTTTGGTCTAAATGCTATTTTCAATTAAGCTGTTTCTTTATGCTTTCGTTTTGATTTCATTTTTATTCTTTCTACCTTCTTTTGAATTTATTCTTACCTGAAACTTATGTTCGAGTTGCCATTTATGCTGAAGTTCCAACTGTTTGTTTTTCTCCTGAAATGTATGCCAAAGCATTTGCTTCTGCAATTCCTGCTCCTTTTTCAGCTGCAATGAATAATAAAAAAAAATCCAATTCCATTGAATTATTCATCCTTGACATAGGCTTACAATACAGATTTGTTTGCTTTTACTTTATTTTTGTCTGTAATATTGATTGAATTCGATGAATGTTCGGTTGTGATGATGAGGTAGAGAGAACGAGAAAAAGGGAGCGAACGAGTGGTGTTTGTTGTGTTCAAAAATACATTTTCAATGGATTGTATAATCGCTTTAAAGGGTTTTTATTTTTAGAAATAACGTCGCATCTCCATGGAAAAAGAAATCATCGAATACCTGATTTTGATTCATTTGCATAATTGCGTTCGATCCGTGTAACGAATCGCTAACAACAAAACAGTCTGCTTTTTTCAGTCTTTCGCGAGCTGATTGCGGTTATGTCTTGTGTAACGAATGTTCTTGTTATCACACACACACACTCATGTTAAACCCGAGTAATTTTTCTCCGCAAATCAATTTTACTGCGAGACAGAATTTTCAGCAAGTATTTTTCAAAAAGCATAATAATCACGACGAATTAATGGGTGTGGTGACGCGAAACGACCAATTGATACCGGCACACCAAAATTATTTGCCAACAATTCGATTCTTCGGGATCGAGACAGACGCATCGGAATGTGTTTTACGCGAAAAATGACTTTGACGAAAACAAAATCAGCACGAACAAAAAATGCGGTTTGAAAAACTCTCTCAAATCATCAACCAATTTAGGTACATGCGATTGCTTTGGCTTCATTCAACATCTGCTTTTGATACAGTCGCGAAATCAATCTAAAATGTCCAATTAAATGTTTTGAGAAAGAGATAAAGCCATTTTATGCAAGCAACATTCCAGTTGGATGTTTTAATTACGTTCACATTCAGGCTGCAACCACTTTTAGAATTTTAGAATTTTAGATTTTAATTACGAAAATTTCACATTCATATATCGAGAAAAAAAAATGTATAAATCAATAGGAAATACGTTGGCATAGTTAACTGTTGATGACAACATGGAATTTCCACAACAATATTCAATTCGGGGTAGAAACCATTTTTCTCATAATAGGAGCGAACGAAAAACCTTTCGGTTGTGTACTGTCCATTGAAGACAGAGTAAAAAAAATACTACACTATTGTAGTATTTGAAAAAAGAAGCAACCAAAGTGTGATTACGGGCTGGCGAGCGTTTGTGTACATTGCGTCGTTGTTATTTGCGATCGATCTGCGAACACTAACGCGCACGCACACACAATCGCGCTTACACTGTACATCGTACAACAAGACACATCTATCTGTCTATATCTCACATATGTTTCTCTGTCGCTGGTACTTCTTTCAATCGGTCGGTCGGTCGGTCGGTCGGTCGTACTCTGTTCGTTCATAAATATTTAATAGGCTAAAAATAAAAACAAGAAAAACCTTGAACAGTCAACGCTTTACAGTGACAACGTTCATAATCTCGTCAATATACACAGTAGAAAAATGCCACGATTTTGAGTAATGAAGAGAGAGAAAGAGGATGAAAGAACGAGAATGAACATTAAAATAACATACGCCATCGAATGCAAGCGAGCGACTGAACGATAAACAAACAAATATCATTTTTTTTCCTCTCATTCTGTACAACGACTGGATGCTTCTCAATTAAAAATTTACATACAAGCTTACACAAGTGTACCTGTGTGTGGTGATATCGGAACAGAAGAAATGAAAAAAAAACCTTTGACAAAAATAACGAAACGACGTAATGCGAAACGACTAACGATCCGGTCAGAATTAACTGGCTGATATGCTTGAATCTTAAATGCTTTTGTTTTACGGTGGAAAATATGGAACCTGCTCCATTCACAAGCAGTACCCCGTAGAAAAGAATCATTCCACGTGAATAGAATTATGGATTGCGACCGAGAATAAACTCAGCAATTTGCATATACAATTCGAATATTTCCCTTGAGCTGCCGAATGAAATGTATTTCTTTTTACTGGGTCGTTTTTTTTTAAATCGGGTCTGTTAAGTGGGCCTCGACAAAAGCATTAAAATCTTTTGTGGTCGAGTCTTTTTTCCTCATTTCGCAGAAAAAAAACACTGGGATTTTGTGTGTGAGGCTAGCCGATTATATTTTCATAGCTCCTTTTCATCATTTTTATCGCCATCGAACCAAATTCGAGTCGATCTTTTCGACACATCTCATCGCTCTCCATTTGATACATGGTCACGCGAATTCATCCTCATCAAAAACAAAAGCGATCGACTTCCGGTTGCGCGTGTTTTTGACAGTTTTCAATCGAAAATGTTGATGGCGTTGACTGAAAGCGATGGACACAAAGGCTTCTTCTTATCACAGCAGTTGAACATCAATACTTTGTTGCTGTATCCATTTTTCTCTATATCTATCTTTTCAAAGATATGTGTTATCCATTCCATCATTTCATCGCAAACGGAAAAAAAACTCGATAAGCACGTGTGCAAATGAAGTATGAACATCGTTCTATTTGTCCGTATCGCAAGATAGCGGCAGTAGCGCGCTAAACCGGCTGTTGATCGCTCTTATCAATGTGTACCTTTTTTCTCTTTGCTCTTTCCCTCTCTCGCTCTCGACGTCATCAAAAGAGAAGAATGCGTTTGGTGCGGCCAAAAACAGAACAATCCCAATTCAATGCGTGTGGAGAAACAAGCAAATCACATGATATGCTTGTGAATTCATATGATACTCAATTTTTTGCTCGTTAAATTGCACACTGTGGGCTATTGTTGTTGTTACTGTGATGTATTTATATCGGGTTAAAGTAATAAAAATCACGTTTTCTGGGGCATTCAACATTCCTTAGATAAACAAAACTGCTACTTCTGTCACTTTATTTTACGGTTCAATTTAAATATAGTTGATCCGAATGTCAAATGGCGCGTGACAAATGAATCGTAACTTCATAGAAATGGTCGGCTCTCTTTTTTGCATTTCACGTTTGTTCATTCGACTCGCAAAATTTTACGCAAAAATTTATTCACAATCAAAGTGTGTTCGGCCAAACGGGAACATATGCAAATAGGTGTAAACTGGCTTTCTTTTTTCGACCAGTTTTCGTTTACTCTTACAACATTTGGAAATACCCGGACACGCAATTGCGTACGTGAGCTGGAGCTCGTCGTATATGAAACACAGTGCGTATCCTCGCGCTACACATCATTCGCAAAAAACTCTGGACGATTTAAAAAAAAAAAGAAGAAGAAGAAATCGTGGCTCGTTAGCCAAACGAAATACGATTCTTTTTTCATTTGGTTGGATCCGGTTTCAATGCTCTACTCACTCCAGTAAATATATCGAGATGTCTTACTTAGTATGCCAACAACAAACAGTTTTCAACTTCGATGCGAAAAAAAGCACAGAGAGACAGATACAAGAAGATGGAATGTGAATAAAGTTTTCTCCGCTTTTTATCAGTTCCATTCGCAAAACTGTAAACTGAAATTCTGTATTGGTTAATAAAGCAATGGTTAATCGTGAGCAAAAAATCTACCAAAGTGGCAATTCAACGTCTCGACCGCATAAAATATGTTAATCATTGGATATTGTTTGCAATTACAAATTTTCGACTTTGACAGATCGAATGAACGAAGACATGAACCAAAAGAAAAGCACTTCATTTTGAGGCGGACTATTTAAAGTTTAAAATAGGCAAAATGCGATGCGAGTATTTTTACCAACCAACAACTTACTTCTGTCAATCTGATATTTCATTCAGGTACAGTTTTTTCTTCGGTTGTCGTTTATCGTCATCGTATAATTTTTCACGAGGAATCGTTTGATGAAATTTTACTTTGCGATTCATTCGCAATTTTTTATTCGTTGTATGCATTTGATTCGGAATTCGCAGTATTGATGTTCATTTTTTGTTAAATATTTACTCGGATTTTCAATGAAATATCCAAATCAGTAACATTGCAAATTGCCAGCCATTGTCGCCTATCTCACACAGAACTTTTTTTTTCCTATTTCAAGGGGATAAAATGTGAATCACTTCCCCTTTTGAAATCGGAACGCATCTGAATTATTCATCGCCGGTTGTCCATTGATCAAAGTTTATTTCGGCCACTTATATGTGAATTTTTTTGCGCCAACTGAAATGAATCCGACTAACAATAAAAAAAAACGGGATCGACGTTTTTGCTAGTTGTTCGGAACATTAAATTTAATTTAGTCGATCTGTCCGAGACACATTTTATTTGTCATATGAAATTTATTAGCTCTTTCTCCATTTCATGCTCGTGTGCAAAATCGTTTTTTTTCGTTCTTTCTTCCATTGCGTAACACGAGTTTTTTTCCGTGCTGGATGATTCAAGCGGTTTTTTTTCTGGTGCGAAAAAATTGGCCACGAGATAAAATGTAAATAAAAATCTAGACAAGCAAGTGCTTAGCCACGATTATTTATGTACAAAATGCAAAATTCGCAATATTTATAAATATACGTAATCGACGAGAAAAAAATCGACGACAAAAAAGAGTCGATGAGAGAAGAAAACAAAAATCGGCGAAATGTTTGCAGAAGAAAGCGCGTCACTCTCTGTTTCTTCACGGTTGATTCATTCACACACACACAGCGTGTGTTTGACAATGAATGGTCGAGATTATTATGATTTTGCATCATTTGACAGGACGCCATTCATACCGACAATTTGCGGAGAAAACGTATAAATCAATTTATTCACACTGTCCACTTTGAATAGCTTTCACGACATTTATTCTTCATTTTTTTTAAATTGAGTCTCGCGCGCGCAAAAAAAATAGAATAAGCAACCACATGTATTTCGCGTGCGCAAAATGTGTTATGATTCGTCAATGGGCGATACTGTCTCTTTGCGAACATTGGCACCGGAAATTGTTCTTTATTCTCTGTGTTGTGTTAAGAAAATTATACAAGATTTGGTTTTCTCTCTCACTATCTTCATTGCTTTCTTTCGCTCGATGAGATGTGAAATAAAAGAACCATAAATTTAATTTTAATTTTTTATTCGAGGGAAAGAAAAATGGTTTGAGTTTTCGCGTTGACTCATGATTTTTTCCTAAGAAATTATTCTATTTTTGTGAACGGATTTTTGTGAATATGATGCCAGAAGCACGGTTTATATAATTAAACATCATTTGCTTGCAAGTTTTGCGTCATTGTGTACGATCATCGCCATTCAAAAACACCAGAAAATCTATGCGAGCAAATGACAAAATAGACTGGCTGTAAAATTATAGGCCGCATTCAAACGGTGATTAGTTTTAATGATAAAAATGAGCATATATCATCTGTCTAGTGTATACTGTGTCGGCTCTTTACCGCACTAAAACAAATCATCTTGAAATTGCTACGATTTATATAATTCCATGTCAAATCTATCAATCTATTTTCCGGTTTCGTTGAGCGTCGCGTGTGTTCCGAAATAGCATTATTTTGTATTGAGTATGTGTGTTTAATACTCCCCCTCTCCTCATATTGTTCTGCTTGATATTACGAAACGGTCGCCGGAATCGCTGTGATTCATCACATTATTGAGCGTGGCGACATTGAGGTGACCACTTGATAAATATTTCTAGATCAGAGATAACGTACATATTGAACACTGTTCACTTTCAGGACAAGGTATAAATAGACAACCGAACTGTTGTCCGGGTACGGTCTACAAAAAAAAGCAATTGACTCACCTCAAGAATTTGTTGATTGAGATCGTTTTGTGCACTGGTGGCATGTTGATTGGTTGTTGAGTTGTCAAGCGCCAGGCTGCTCGGTACAACCAGAATACGCTCTCTTCCAACCGCTGAATCACGAGCCATTTCTGTAAGAGAAAGTCAAACATTTGAGGAAAAAATATTATCGCAATCAATTTCAAAAATTCTAATATCATTCATTCAGTCGAAATTGAGAAGAGAAAAATAATACTGATGGAATGAAAACATAAATCGAGAAGCCACTGATAATATTTTCGACTGTGAGAGAGCGCGAAGGGGATTTAACGATGAATTTGCACATAATGGTGCTTATCACAAGTTTTGCAAATGACACCTGACTCGTCAAATTGACAATTGTCTCTAAAGAAATGCTAGCTCAAAGAAGGGTTGTTGGTTTGTGTTTGACGTAATCTACTTGGAAACGGTATTTCCATAGCATCGTCAGTGCGTTTGTTGTGCCGTATGTTTTTTTTTTCGCTTCCTCTTTTGTTTTCGTTCTGGTCTATTTTTATTAGTATTCTGTGCGTATTCAAAATTGCCTACGCAAAAGCGGTTCTCTCAATGGATTCAGGTGAATTGAATTTGTGACAGCGCAAAAAAAAAAACAAAACTCAATGGATCCCACCCACACATCCATTGTTATTACGTAGTGGAGTGCACGTATTGCAATGTGCAAACGACATGTAACTAAATGTGTGATAAGCTGTTCGCATGAAGAATTTTCCGAAGAGAAAAAAGCAGACAAGTAAATACAGTCTAGCATACGAAGAATATGAGTAGTCTATATAATAAGTCTCGATCGTCGTATCGCGATGACGAGATTCGAGAGATGTGACGTAAAAAGCTCCGCATCTCATGAAATTTGCCAAGTGGAAAATATATATTTAGAATGTAGTACTGCGTGTGGTTGTGTGTGTTTTGTTTGCGCGACACCGCTGCTATAGCGAAAAACCTTGACTGTGACAATTGTGATCTTTTTATACATTTTAATTAGTACACATATCCGTCAGCCGTACACTTTCAATCAAATTTTCGACTTCGTTGAAAGTCGAAGTTCGACAACCACACACTTTTTCTATCTAACTCTCTTTCGCAACCAATGCCTGCACTTGTCTCTCTACTCACTCTTTGTCTCTTTCTATTTGATTTTTCGGAACTCGCGAAATTATAAACATTTCAAGCACCCGGCAACACATTGAAAGTCGCACTTGAATTTTAAGCACAGTCATCGTAAATAGTAGGGAAAGAGAAGAAAAGAGAAACAAATGATTGTGTGATTGTATACAAGAATCGCGTCCGAAATTGTGAATGTTGAACGATACACACGGCATTATACATGAATAATTAACCGATGTCTATTGTCATCGTTGTCGCTGAGAATGAGTGCTTTTTTTCTCCCTCTTTGTCGACAAACACTCGTAGATAACATAACTTTTCACATCGTTTTTTTTCGGTTTGGATCGAAGGACGCTACTCGATATGTTTTTTTTTCTTATTCGGCTGCGTTTCGTCACGATACCAAAACTAACTTTGAACGTAACCGAATTGTAAGAGTCGTTTCAACTACAACAAAACATACATCCAATTGGCTCACAGCACCATCGAAACACATGAATTGGATTTTGTTTCTGGCGCAATGTTATAACGTTACGTTTTTGTTAACGTTCTTAGCGTTGACCGTCCCGTCTATCAACGAATCAACGATCCAAGTGTGTTGTTATTTCATTCTACGTCGTCGTCGATTGCGATAGTCGCACACTATTTTTAAAGGTAATTCGATTTTCTGACGGAGGGTTGGATGGGCGAAAGTTATGTTTCGATATGTTTTTTCCTGCCTAATTATTTTGATTTATAGTTTCTGTTTCTGTTTTAGCGTGAATATTTCACTATGGCCACTGAATAATCGATGGGGTGTTTTAAAAATAAGTTAATTGTCATGAAAGCCTTAGGCATTGCTTTTGTGTGTGTGTGTGTGCAAGTGTGATTGAAGCATGATATGCTACATTTCCATTTTCATAAACCGCTTACTCGCGCGCACCAATTAACAATAGATTCCCTTCAACAATGTCCAACCATAAAAATACAGTATTGCGGAGAGCGACAAAAATGTCTTTTCAATAGTGGAGGAACAGAGAGGGAGAGAAAAAGCAGCGTATCATGTTGTTCTGGTCACACGGTTTAAAGTGAATGAACAGAGAAAAAAACTCACAAAAGAAACCACATTTATTGAATCTTTCAAATCGTTTGTCATTACTGTGTCGAAATGTCGCTCATACTCATACTCATGCATGTACAATGTTGTGATGGCAATTATTTTGACATTAACGGAACTAAAAATACGACACTTTTTACACCGTTCATAAAATGTGAACGGTTTCATGGAATGAAATACATATGTATATCGAACGATGTTTATTGTATTATAAATTATGATGTTTCGTGTGCCTAAGAGGCACAAAAGAGAGAAAGAGAGATAGAGAACGCCACCAAATTGTTTATTTATAAGTTTCTATGAAGAAGTCACAATCAATTTTTTTTTACGTTTCTATAAATATTAGTGATTTAAGTCTGAAGGCACGAATTTGTTTGGTCCGCATAGGAGTTGAATTTCGTCGGTAGCCTTTTTTTGTCGTTCGGTTTTGTTTATTTAAATGGCATCAAATTTGGTAGTCAATTTGCACGTATGCCGTGGAAAAAAACATAATCAGACATATTGTTCACAGGTTTTTGCCTGGGTTTGAGTATATTTACCGAAAAAATTTGCGCACATTAACAATAACCGTTAAAGCCGAGTCTAAAAATAAATGTTTTCAATAAAGCAGAAAATAAAAATCACAATGCAATTGCAGTGTTCAAGTCCATTCACGCTATTATTCAGAATCGTGGTTGAAAACCCGAATCAAATGTGTTAAAATTGCCAGGTTTGGCAAACATAAGCAATTGCAAACCCGTTGCATGAACAAAAAATAAATGTATTTTCAAATGGCATGTACTATCCCAGCCAAAACTTGACCAATTGAACGTAGAAAAAAGTGTAACTTTAAATAAATTGCATTTTGTAAATGGAAACGTTATAAATTGCTCAGTTTGTTTGTGAGCATATGGAATGCGTATATCCAATTGGTTGTTTATCTAATCCGCTGGCGTGCGTGCTTTTACGCGAGTATTGTCTTGTTAGTTAGTTGGTTAACGTGGTCGGTTGTAAACAAAAACAAGCGATAAAGCTGCTCTCATCGCGCATAAAATGAAGTATCGTCATATTCAGTTCAAGTGTATGGAGTTTGAGTGCGTAAACAAGCCCCACATACAATTCATATATTTTGACTCATATTTCGTCGGTTGTTTTCGGAATGAATATGAGCGCATATCATCTTTTATTCAAATGGGCCAACGAAATTTTATTCGGTGTCAAATTGTCCTGTCCAATTGTCTATAAAAAGTTTCCGCGTTTTACATTACAATCGTTCAGTTGATATGATGACGTGGCAAACGAAACGTTTTTTTCCCTCTTTCTCGTTATCAAGCGGCACCAATTTTCTTTCGGAGTGTTCCGTCGGGTCAAACTATATGACCGAACAAGAGATAGGTGGAGGGGGAATACAAAGGAGCGAAAAAAAAGAACGCGAATAGACCAATGGTGCGTATGATCGCCTTTTATGACACTTTTATTACGCTCAATTCCGAATATTTATAATCGCGAATACAGATTTTAGGCGATAGGGTTTGTTTGTTCCTCCGTTCACAAACTATTACATTGAGTCTAGAAGCATTTTCTTTTTTTTTTCATTTCATAGAAACACTGAATCATCAATTTAATCTAAGATTTATATCGTTGTGCATGCGATGTTTAGCACACGACCTCTTGCAACAATATTTTTAATGTGCAATTTCGGCTCCAATAATAGCCATTCAGAAATAAGTCAATCAGCACGAGAAAAAAACACACACACATTTTTTTCACGTGGAGCTTTCTTTATAGTGCGAATATAGTGGAAATGAAGCTTTGGCGTAAATGGTGGCACGTGTACATGTTGGATGTGTGCAGAAAAAAAAGAAGTGAAATGTGTCTAGTTCGAAAACGAACAAGGGCCCTTCGAAAGTGTCGATGGTGGTCATCGATTTAAGACTAATCCATCAAAATGACTGCTTCTGCCAGCCACGTTTTTTTTTTTCTCGCATCAATCAGCGTGAACGTACGATTTTTATTTATAGTTTTCGCACACACATACACACACTCACAACTTAAATAGTTTCTTTTTCGCTAATTTTGTGCCCGGAAGCCGACCGTATTCAATTGTTTGTACGATCGATAGGCCGGTTAAAGTGATTTTCTTTTGGTGAAGAAAAAAAAAACTTTTACTTTTCCCTTTTGAACTCATGTTCACCGTACATTTCATGTTAATTTATTAAATGTGCCTTTCGCTTTTGCTATATTTCTTCTCTTCACTGTGTACAGTACTGTAGTACATCCCGTACTTTGTATCACGCCTATCCAACGACGATTGGCGGCTTAAACGAGAACTGCGTAGCAACGAATATGCCAATGTATGGTTTGTGCATGTGTATGTGTATGTGTTTTACAATTTCAAATGATACACGTGCCGCGTTTGCCGTAAACCAATTGAATTAGTTTCAATTCAGCACGGGCAAGCTGACAATGAATTTGATAAGCCTAACGAGCGAACGAACGAACAACAACAAACAGATATTTTTGTTCAGATTTTCGGTCTCAATATGATTGACTACCATGGTACTACATTTAATCGCTAAAGAAAACTTAATGCGATATATTTCTGTAAATTCACAGCAAACTACGAAATATGGACACATTCAACGTTCACTTTTTGTGTTGTCATGCATTTAATCGATCGAAGTGGTGCGTTTGAGGGTAGATCTTATACCGGTTCTCGTCGAAGAAGACGAATTAGATTTCGTCATTTTGCATTCAAAAATAAAGATTGTGTCTTAAATCAAAATCAACATTTGCCATTAAAAAAAGATCAATCTCATATGGGAAAAAAATTATTCATATTATTGTAATCAAAACGACACTAAACAAATCCAAGCTACAAAATAAAATGTGAATGACATCTTTTAAAACTTGAAATGAAATGAATTCAGCGCTTCATTTCGTCAAAAATGTACGACGAGCTGTGGTAATCAAGCCAAACAAAACATATTGTTCGCATAAAAAAATGTGTGATGCACATTGCACACACAACATAAATTGTTCGCGTTGGCATGGAACAATTCGAGGTGAGACCAGTAGCTAGACTGCAGGCCGAAAACCATCCACGCCGTGAAAATGAGTTTTAAAACAAATTCCGCGCTAACGGCATGCACATAGCGAGAGCGTGAAAAGGACAAGACATAGTTCAATTGAGCTATTAATAAACTGAACGCATTTATTTTTAAATTGTTCAGCAATCGTTAAAACCCGAATTTCTGTCAGTCGCATTAAACGCGACCCGCTAAAAATACACCGACGAATCTATTTTATATTTTGGTTCGCGAGTGAGAGAGAGAGAGAGTGAAGGAGAGAAAGAGAGAATGAAAAGCATTTAGGCTTCGCTTCTTCGCATTAGCACAGAAATGCCTAAATATAATATGAATACCACAACGCGCGGATAATTATAAATTGTTGTGTGTATATACAAGTTTATGATGCGCCATTTGGAATGCTCAAAACCATTTTCGTATACCAATATATTTTTGATGCCCATCAAGTGCGCCGCATTTTTCAGCCCCTTCTATTGGACTGCCTTCGGCGTGTAGGAGAGAGAGATAAAAAAAACCCGAGCTCTCCGGTTTTTCATATTTCATGTACGTACACGCTATTATTGGATTCAAATTAGATACTCAATAAAAATGTGTGTATTTTTACACACGAAAAGATTGGAACGATTCTTGGGCGGATACTTGAACGGAAAACGGCTAAAATTACGCATTGGATAATTAGACAATCTATAGACGAATGCCACACGCGCAACTGATAATTTCATATGATAATGGAAATGTTCAGCATTTTTCATCTTTTTTTTTGCTTTGCTTCTTTCCAATAATGCCGATGCGTCGTCGTTGTTTTGTTGCTAATTTTAAATGTGTCTAGATAACAGTTTACGTCTTCTTTGTTTCATTTTCAATTTAAGATTTATTTACATGCTTTTAAGTACATGCTTTTGTCTGATTTGGATTGGAGTTCATCTTGCAAGCCGATAAGCAGATCGTCCGTTATTTGAGACAATCTATAATTATTGAATATTATTTCATTAATCAGCTTGTGATAGAACGTTCTTTCGCCTTCGCATTTGAACTTCTTTTGTGAAGAAGAACCGTAATTGATCGGATAAAGATCATCTGTGAATTGCGACGCAATTATTGGAACGGTTGTTAGTCATTCCCATCATTTAATCACGAAGAGATTTTTCACGCTCTTGCCCTTTATTCCCCTCTCTTTCCTTTCCTTTCTCTATCTATCTATCTTTCTCTCTGTGTCTGTCTCTGTCTTTGTCCCTCCATAAAATTGCAACCGCTTTATTCGAAACAGTACACGAATTCTTTGACTTTCTACGAATTTTCCCATCAATGAACGAGGTAAACACAAAATCGTGAATTAAAAAAAAAAACAACAAAAACAAAAATAGTGGAAACTTGAAACAGAATATCAACAGAAAAAATGTTGAACATCCTGTTTCGCAGACGCATCCACCAAGCGGTGCAACATCACAAAAACGCCAATCTGGAATCATATTTATATGCAAAAATAAATGAAATTGGATAAAAATATTTTTGGATGTTGTTGTTGTCATTTTTTTTTAAATATATAAATAGTCAGGCGACAGGGAATAAATAATCTATTTTAAAATTTGTATACAAAATATACGCGACACGCGTGCTGCCAAACAGACAGGCGGATCATCCGAAAATATAATAATTAATACGGATTTCTTTGAAGAAGAGATGCGCTTGTGCGTTGCACCCATACCTCGAGCATGCTTTTGTATCTTTGCCAAAAATGGTTCTGTACTAAGCTGAAAAAACTTAGCTAACAATTTAAAATACATTGCGCCCCGCAAGCCATCTAGATGGCGCCACAAGAAAATTTGGTTCTTATACGAGGTGTATGCTCAAGATATGGTTGCACCTTTGTGTCGTTTGCCATTGTTTTGTTCTTGTTGAAATATGCTATCACAATATGTGGCCTATTCTGAGGCAGACACAGACGTGTGCAAGGGGGGGGGTATTCCGGTTTTACCCCCCCTCTAGGATTCCAAAATGTGGACCCCCCCAGCTATTTGGAAAATTCGACACTAGATATAATCGATTTTCAAAAGTGAGGACCTTTTTTTTTTTTTTAGGTCTTCACTTGTTTTTTGACACCCATTGGCAAAATTTTAGACCCCCATTGTGGAATTTTGACTGTTTTACACTAGATAGAATCGATTTTCAAAAGTGAGGACCTTTTTTTTTTT